TTTCCCATAGCTGCAGCACAATTTTACATACCCACCATCAGTATACAGTATTTCCAGTTTCTCTACAACCTCACCAACACTTGCTACATTAAAATTTGTGTTATTATTAGTCACTGCTAGCATAACAAACATTTGCAATTAAGAACAGCAATCTGGGGGCTCCTGGGTGGCTCAGTGGGTTAAAGCCTCTGTCTTTGGCTCAGGTCATGATCTCAGGGTCCTGGGATCGAGCCCCACATCGGGCTCTCTGCTCAGTATGGAGCCTGCTTCCTCCCCTCTCTGCCTGCCTCTCTGCTACTTGTGATCTCTGTCTGTCAAATAAATAAATAAAATCTTAAAAACAAAAACAAAAACCCAGCAATCTGAATATAAAAGTCATATTAATTCAATAAAAATATCGGGAAGAAATGAGAAGAAAATAAGATGACGCTAAACCTCTTACTTTAGAATAGCGAGAGAATCAGTAGAGATTTATTCTTCAAATTGGTAAAACAATTATCCTTTTTTGGGAATTCTTGTCATACTACCTATATTGGGAACTCTTGTCATACTGCCTGTCAATGATCTAGCTGGGATAGGGAGCTCCCCCTTTGTACTTCCAAGAGAGGTTGAATCCTAACTCACCTTTTCTATAACCTGTACCAGTAAAGAATTAAACTTTGTTAAGCCATTGACATTTCAGGATTTATTTTATACCACAGCCTAGCCTAACCTAGCCTCATAAAACTTAGTGCTAGAAGTAGAGCGAATCCATAATAAAAATCTAAACTCAAACCACCCTGAGACCTAGGTAAGAAGGATCCCTGCTCTGGGCTCAGATTTTATAGGACATCTCATATTACCCTCCTCCCCTACTACACAAATGATGTATTATAAAATGATCACTAGATGGACATGAACACCAGAATGGTGAATAATTTTTTATTTATAAAAATATACAAGAAGACTTAAAGTAAAAAAAATTAAAAAAAAAACCTTAAAATTGTAATTCACCCATTATAACTTTGCCTTTTAATTTTAATAGAGTTTCGATTATTTCAGAAGAAATGAAAATTTGGTTACTGCTAACATCAGTGAAAATGATCAAAATTTTTCTGATCAAATCCAGATCTGAACAGTTAGGTGAAATACCTGCAACCACAGAATCTTTATTAAATAAAGATTTAATTATTGAGCAAACAATGAGACTATAGGCTTCCATTTTTATTCTTCCTTTGCCCACAAATGATGGTAAGCTTGTCTGAATCATATGGGGAATTTAATAGTTAGCTGGCAAACAGTGACACAGCTTATGTCATGGGCAGGAATCCATCTGATTCAGGGCCAAAAGATCTGAAAAAATGTGATCTCTAACTCAGGAGGAAGACCATGAGTCCATTGAACTTGAAGCTCAAAGCAGAGAGTGGAAAACAAAGCAATAGTGTTTGCTGGTTGTAGTGTGTGTTCAACAAAATTATTTTATGAGTAAAATAACTACCAGTTTGGAAGCAGAAATAAAAGCCAGAATCAAGAAATGTGGGGCTTTTGCAGCACCTGGGTAGCTCAGTTAAGTGTCTGCCTTCAGTTCAGGTCATGTTCCAAGGGTTCTGGAATTGAGCCCCTCATCAGGCTCCCTGCTCAGCAAGGAGTCTCATCTCCCTCTTCCTCTTCCTGCTGCTCCCCTGCTTGTGCTCTCTCCTTATCTCTCAAATAAATAAATAAAGTCTTAAAAAAAAAAAAAGAGAGATGTGGGGCATTTGAGACTTGGAAAAGAAACTGCTTCTATGTAGTATATAATAAGATATATTAAAAAGTCTTTGAGACACATGTCCTAAATCTTTCATGTGATTAGAAAAGCTCTGGACAAAGAGATGAAGTATAGGACTCCAAGGAAATCTTCTTAATTGATTAAAAAGTGGCACAGCAAATGAACAGATTAGAGTGTATCCATTTCCCCAAAACTCATGTTTCAAGAAAACTGGCATTAAGCTGAACAAGAAAAGCACCACGGTGAGAAAAACTAAAAAAAGACTTGAAAATTTCTCTAACTGGTCTTTAAGTGTGGGTATTGGTATTTGGAACTGGTTGGAGACATACAGCTGAAAGACCTTCAGAGGTGTGGTTTTTTTTTTTTTTTTTTTAAGAGTTTATTTATTTATTTGACAGACAGAGATCACAAGCAGGCAGAGAGAGAGGAGAAAGCAGGCTTCCCGCGGAGCAGAGAGTCCTATGCGGGGCTCGATCCCAGGACTCTGGGATCATGACCTAAGCTGAAGGCAGAGGCCTTAACCCACTGAGCCACCCAGGAGCCCAAGACCCAGAGTTTTTGAGACAGATATATTTCCAAAGATAGCAGAAACCTGTTATAAAAAAAACCTGTGAATGTTGGGTACTTTAAATGACCATGGACAGAAAGCAACATGAAAAAGCTCTGGCTCAAAGATGGCATATTTCCCAATGCCCAATTCAAGTTGGCCAAGGAGGATGACAGATGAAGAACAGTTTAGAGGGAGAAGATAGGTACCACAGAAAATAACGAACAAGGGAATTCCTGCCTCCTCCAATCAAAAAAAAATTTCTGGACCCCAGTATAGTAGGTCTTCATACCCTCTCCTATCTAAAGATTGCAGAATCATTCTGAACCAATGATTACTGTGTGGTTCCCATTCTCCCACATTCTGAATAGATGTGTTTGGTGTGGTGGTCTTATCTTGTGTTGCTGTTGAATATTGTTCGTGTGGAGGACAGACATAGTCACTAGGCCAAGAGTATCCACAACCAACCTTGTTGGGTTTGCCTACCACTCAGAGATATTAAGCCTTTGCTTCAGTAACTGAACAAGATATTGGACTTAATACTTCGGCAGAGGCCTAGAATTGTTCTATTTCTGGGAGGGAAGGATAAATAAATAAATATATAAATATATAAATAAGTAAGTACCTGATGACCATAAAAGCAGTCTGTGCTTGAGACATTTAATGCAACCATGTTAGGGTTATCAGACTAATTCTGCCCAGAGGGGTAGGAGTGGGAACAACATGTATCACCTTCAGGTCTGATTATACAAATACCTACATAATCTTCTAGCTTTCTCAAGAGTGACTCTGAAAAACATGTGTTGGCATGATGGAACTAAGATATAAACAGCCGATGGCATTGCATGAAGAAGAGGGGAAGTGGAGAATGGTCCAACCAGTATTGGACTTTGTGTGAGGGATACATTAAACCTATATTCTTTAAAGATTAATGCTAAGTGAAATGAGTCAGATAGTGAAAGACAAGTACTATTTGATCTCACTTATATGTGGAATCTAAATTTAAAAACTCATAGATACAGAACATATTGGTGGTTGGTGGAGATGGGGGTGGGTGAAATTGGTGAAGGAGGTCAAAAGGTGCGAACTTCAAGGTTTAAGGCAAATAAGTTCTGGGGATGTATGTTAAAGCATAATGATGTGACTATACCTAACCATACTGTATTATATATTTGAAAGTTGCTAAGAAATTAGATCTTAAACATTCTGATCATAAGAAAAAGAAATTGTAACTGTGAGGTAATGGATGTTAACTAAACTTGTAATCATTTCACCATATATTCATATATCAAATCATGTTGTACACTTTAATACAATGTTATATATCAATAAAAAAGTTAAAAAAAAAAAGGCCTGCACGCTTTCAGGGTTTATTTGTTAACATAACATCATAGTCTACTATTTTCTGATAAATATAGAAAAAATTTTTTTAAGTTTAAGTAATAATCTCTGTATCCAATGTGGGGCTTGAACTAATAACCCCAAGATTAATAGCCACATGCTCTACCAACTGAGCCAGCCAGGTGTCCCATGATAAATATAGAAATTGACATGAGAAATGAGGTGCTTAGTTTTTCTGGGTGATCAGTAGTAGAAGACAGGAGAATCTCCTGTTGAAGATTTAGTCCACAGTTAACACTTCTGTTTCTGCAGGATGGAGTCGCCAAGACCAGATTTACCTTCCCACTTGAAAAAAACTATGTGCAAAAGCGGATGTCAGCAGGCGTAACACCAGGCAAAAAAAGCCAGTGCTCCCTGAGAGTAGGGAAACTAAAAAAGTAATCCTCATGTTAGTGCTGTAAGAGAATTTTCAGGCCACAAAGAAGTACCAGGAAAGAGAGACCTGCATGGAGAGAGAATTCCAAAGATGTTCAGAGGGTCCTGCTTGAGTATTTAGCAGAGTACTGATAAACCCATGTATTTGAGGAACCTATCCATGGTCAGGGAAATTGCTCAAAAAGGCAAGAGAAATATTACCTAATGCTCACTCAGTCTTGGGAATAGTGCCTCTTTTCACTAGCCAGACTAGAAAACCTCATAATTTTGGGAATTGTGTAGAGTACTCAGAAGGAACTTGGCTTCAGTGTGGGAGATATTTATTCCTACCCTAAACCATTGATTTTTTTCCTGCCCAACAAATCTTAAAAACAAGACTCAAATGGATCAAAATGCCAGGTAACATGAATACATGACAGGAAAAAAGTCCAGAGTATTTACAGAAAAACAAAAATAACCATCACCCAACAAAGTAAAATTAGGAGTATCTGGAATCTGATGAGAAATTATCTGCAGGGGCACCTGGGTGGCTCAGTGGGTTAAGCCTCTGCCTTCGGCTCAGGTCATGATCCCAAGGGTCCTGGGATCGAGCCCCGCAGAGGGCTCTCTGCTCAGCAGGGAGCCTGCTCCCCGCTGCTTCCCCCACCTCCCCGCCGCTTGTCTCTGCCTACTTATGATATCTGTCTGTCAAATAAATAAATAAAATCTTAAAAAAAAAGAAAAGAAGAAATTATCTGCATACAGAGATGCAAGAAAATACAACCAACTCCAAATGAGAAGAAAAATCAATTAATGAAAATCAAACCAGGACTGACACAGATGTTAAAATTAGTAGGGAAAGCAAGACTGAGAAAAAAAAAATAATGAAAAGAGCATCAGTGAACTGTGGAAAACTTCAAATGGTATAATGTACATGTATTTGGAGTCTCTAATATTTTAGTAGAAAACAGCTCAAATTTTTCTCTTTTGGTTAAAATCTGCAGATTCAAAAAGTTCAGTGGACCCCAGGAAACATGAGCAATGTGATACCAGGGCACATCAGATTGCTCCAAATCAAGGATAAAGAGAAATTCTTAAAAGCCACCGAAGGAAAAATGCATATGATATACATGGGAACCAAGAAAATGGTCCAGCAGATTTCTCATCACAAATAATGTATGAGAAGATAGAAGACGCTGTGGTAACATCTTTAAAGTTCAGTTTAGAATTCTACACATAGTGATAATATCTAGCAAAAATTAAGGAGATTGAAAGGTATCTAAAGATACAAATTTCCAGTTATAAATTAAATGCTATCCATATAATGTACAACATGGTTGATGGGAATGAAAACCAAAGAAATGCAGATAAAATTAAATTTCCTTACAACCTGCAGCCCATTGATGAATATTTGAGACAGAGTATGACATTCCTCAAAAAAACTCACAACTGTTTTATGTTTATTTTTTTTTTAAAGATTTTATTTATTTGAGAGAGAGAGAGAGAGAGAGAGCACGCGCTTGAGCGCACACAAGATGGGGGAGGAACAGAGGCAGAGGCAGAAGCAGGCTCCCCATGATCAGGGAGCTGCTACCTGGGGCTCAATCCCATGACCCTGAGATCAGGACCTGAACAGAAGGCTGGTTAGACTGAGCCACCCAGGTGCCCCACTCACAACAGTTTTTTTAATGGTCATGCTTTGAGGGAGGCAAAAAATAACTTTAACTTGACAATAGCCAGACCTCCAGGATCCTGTAAATCCTCTTTAACATATGCAAACCCTATTGGAAACTTCCTTTGTCTTTAGCCCCCTCCCCCAATTTAGAAGTATATAATCCATTGCTCCTCACAATCCCAGTGCAGCTTTTTCTGCCCATGGGTCTGGCCTTGTGCTTTAATAAAAACCCCTTTTTGCACTGAAAATATTTCAAGATTTCTTTCTTGATCATTCCTTCTTGACCTCCATCACATCAATGATGATTATGACTAACCCTGCTATATGGTATATAGGAAAGTTGTTAACGGAGTAAATCCTAGAAGTTCTCATCACAAGGAGAAATTTTTATTCTTTTTTCATTCTTTTCTTTTGGTAATTGTCTATATGAGAAGATGGATGTTACCTGAACCTATTGTGACAATCATTTCACAATATATGTAAAGCGAACCCTCATGCTGTATGCCTTAAATTTATACCATGATGTATGTCCATTATTTTTCAGTTCAACTGGAAAAAATATACAGTTAATAAAATTGCATGATAGAGAAAAGAGTAAGGAGAAACAAAGATTTTTATAATATACAAAATTGATAGGATTAAAACCAACAGACCAAAGTATAAGTTAATGTCATTTAGGCAGAAGAAAAATGATACCAGGTGGAAATATGGATATGCACAAATAAATGAAAATTTCCATATCCAGAAAATTTAAAGGACAAAAATAACAAAAGCTTCTACACATTTACAAACATAAAACAAGGTAAATGCAAACAAGGATTGTTTCCATTCATGTCTTCTCCACCCTGGTCTTTTCTTCACTCTACTTCAGCTAGTTATTTAAATTTAAATTAATATTATGTATATCCTTTTATTGCTTCCTTTGGAGAACATAGCATCTATAGGTGTTTACACAGAATGTTTATATTTGTGTGTATTGTGTGTATTTACACACATATATGCATATGTACATGTGTATATATTGACATACATATATAGGATGTATATAATGACATAAGATAGTCCTTTAAAAAGATATTCAAATAAATATAGAGGAAATGCTGTATAGCAAATCCATGTCATTGACCACGTTAACCTATTGGAGATTAAAGTACATATTACATATTAAAATACTTTAACAATTCTGCATTAAAGAGATTAGTTTTTGTTTAAGCCAGTGTTTCCCAAACATTGTTGAAATCTCTTTCCCCTCAAAAAATGCTTTCCCATGTAGCAGAATAGTGGAGTTTTGAACTTTAGTGCCAGAGTTGTGATTTTATAATATTTCCATTTTATTTTCTGTTGGATAGAGAGGAAGAAAGCTTAAATAGATATGTTTTACAATGCAGCAACATCTGCATAGCACATAAACAAAGCTATGCTGTCAACATTTATGTTCATAATTTCATAATGATATATCTACAAGCAAGAAAAAATGGGAAATTTCTTGTGATAAAATTTATAGTCAAGCATTTATTTAAAAATTATGAATTCTATGGATTATTTTAATAGTCCAGTGTTTTCATGGTCATACTTCAGTAGGGTACTCTTTTTGGCTTAATGTCTATATGATGGAAGTCTGCAAAAGACACCATCAGTTCAATGTTTTTGGAATTAATCTTCACATATTTATTATTTTTCATGGAAATGGCAATCTGATATTATTCAAGTGTTGATTTCATTATTTACATCCTTGCAGAACATTTCTTAAAAATGAATACTACACATGTAGTACTCTTTCAACAACCTAGAGTTCATAAAATGTAAAAACAGGTAAGTGGACAAGAGAATCTCCATCACTGTGCTATTTCTTTTATATGAAGTATCTTGGTTTTGTGGTTTGGGAAGTGCTAGCCAAAATATGGGGGCGAGTTCGGGAAAGTTGTGAGAAATTGCAAAGTACATTTATTAAGCCTTAGTGATGAAATCCAAGCAACTCCCAGACACCAGCCTTCCCGGACCCACCCCCCCCCCCCCCC